AAATGTTAAAATGGTTATATCTGGATACAAAGACTATGGTGATATTTCCTTCGTACATTTCTGTGTTATTTGGATATTTTTCATTAAGCGTGTATCCTTTTTTCCAAACACAAAAAGGCTTTTGTTCTCCATCATTTCTTTTTTTTTTTCTTTCAATGCTTCCATATCAATAACCCAAATCCTACTTCATTATGTCTCCAAAATGTCAAAATGGTTACCTATTATCCCCAACCACAGTGCAACTACAGCCTCTTTCAACCTGGCTAATGTAACAGAATCCTAAACTTATTTATGCTTCCCCTAACCCATTCTCCAGCCAGCCATCGGAGTTACCTTATGAAACAGATTTCCTATCACTTCCCTGTTTAAAACCCCAAACTTCATGGCAAGCCTTTCAAGGGCTTCTAAAATTTGCTCCCAGAGTCTATAATTTTAGCTCCACATCCTACTGCTGTCCCTCAAGTATCTTAGATGCCAGATAGTTGCTGGTCATTCCTTGAAAACGGCATGTACTCTTTTAGTCTTCCTTTATTTTGTTCATGCTCTTCTGTTGTCAAGAATATTCTTCCTTCCCTGCCTGGTGAAACGTATACAGTGGTATAGAGGAAAAGAATGGGATGGAGGATGGATAACTAAATAAATAGGAAGTGGAGGAAAAATTACAGAATAGCATGAAGATGAGGGTTCACGAAAGCAATTTTTGGTAAGGTGAGAAAATAACAGTGCCTACCTCATAAGGATGGAGTGAGGATGCTAAATAAGATAATAAATGTCAAACTTTTAGAACAGTCTCTGGCATATACATTATTGTTATTTTCAGCATTATTATCACGGTACAGTGCTAAGAGCTTGAACTCTGGCTGCCACAATAAGGAGGAAGCAGTGGAGAGGTTCCAGCTCAAAAGCAGGGTGCAAAGAGACAAAAAGGACACTGGCCTGATTCAAATTTATTCAACAAACTACACACTAAATCAAACCACTTAAGCCATACTAGAGTACACAAAGAGCACACAGGTGAATTCCTATACACCCCAAGTAACTTTTATCCCTCAAATCAATATTCCTTTTGAAGTCGAGCTGTTCCAACAGCCTGCCCCAGGCTCTGAAGCATCAGGGCAGCATCTCATGTTCACAAATCTGAATCTGCAAGTCCCATTTATGCTCTCCTATGGTTTCCCATTTGGCCAGTAGTCACTTCTCTTTTTTTACATAACAGGAGTTTCTTCCCATAGCTGCAAGAAAAGTGAATATATATGTACAACCTGCCCAAGTTTAATACTGTAGCCAAAGGAAAACTAAATTCATTCAAAATGGAGGTGAACCAATGGAACTCAGAGACTCTTTATTTTTTAGATGAGTCAAAAATTTTGAAAAAAAAAAAAAAAATTGATATTGCCCTCTTAACCTCTTGTCAAGCGCAGTCCTATTAAAAGACTGCCTCTGCCAATAGCCCCCAGATAGCCATCATCTCTCCTGGTTAACAGGTTTTCTTGACTTTTATTTCACATAAGCCACTGTAATCCACTATGCCATCTCTCCTTTCACATCCCTCCCCCATGCATACCAGATCTCCCTTGAGCACTATAAGACAGTAGTCCTTTGGTAAAAGACACTGCTCCTAGATTATGTCCCAAAGTAGACAAAAAGAAAGCAGAACTACACATCTACTAAATGACACAAAGCCTGCTTACCAGTCAGACTGCCAAAAATCATTTGCTTCTCCTCTTGCAGGTTTAGACAAACACAAAGAGAACTGTGCTCCTATGTATGACTGCTGCTTCTCTACAGGACTTGAAGAACTGAGGCATTAGAGATACTTCCTCTCTATAAACCCAAATAGAACACTTTTGTTTATTTTCTCTTGGCATAGAGTTGGTAGCTTGTATTTCCAGGCAGTCATTGTACATCTTTTGGCAAGTGCCTTCAAGTTTCTCAGTACAATGTTTCATCCAGTCACTGAAGGCAATGCATTGTACCTTGAATTTACATGCCAAGAAAAAGACTCAGACTGAAAAGACTTCCAGTATCATCTTCCTGCAACATATGAGACACTACACATGAGTTACAAGACCCAGATCCAATTCCCAGGTGTGCAAGTATCTTGCACTGTGATCTCCAGTCCATTTTTTAATCTTTCTATACCTCAGTTTTTCCATCCTGGAAAACGGGGATTGTAATACCTGCCACTCCTTGAATTTAGACTCTTATTGCTGACTGAGAATATTTATGTTTCTATAATTTGTGACACTAGGATTTGGAAAACTCAGAAAATAAGCACAAATGTTTCTTTTGTCAGACCTGCCATACAGAATCCACAGCAAAACCCAGCAGGAGTCCTTCAGAGAGCAGTTCTGACATCCCACTCAACAAATCAGGTACATAAGAGTGGGAAGTAAGAGGCCAGGCAGAACCTTCAGAAACTACATGACCACAGAAGCAAGTCATTATCTATTAGGCTCCATGACTATATTGTCACCCTAGAAATACTATCCTTGACACTCCACTGTGGTTTTACCACACAAAAACTACCTCAATACTTAAAGCACTTATTCAATGATTACCAAAAACAAGCACTTTCCCTGGATGGGAACTGCCCTAGTAGGGGTTGCCTTGGGATGACCCTACAGGTAAGGTGGAACAAAGGGATGACATACCAAGTATGAGGTGCAAGACAATTGAAGACTTAAGGCAGTACTTTACAATACTTTCTGAGTCAATAGTATACTGCTAAAATACAAAATTCTGGACAGCATCCCAAAATGGATTATTAAAATACAAACCTTTAAAAAAAAAAAAAGATCGACTTGGAAATTTGAAAAAAATATCTAATTATCACTTTCTTTTTAGTCTGTGTGGCTGTTATAACGAAGAACTTTACTACTCTGTCTAGGCTCTCCACAAGGTCAAGTTTTCCCTGTTCCAATAAACATTCTCTGTCTTTGCTATCATTTAATTATTGACATTAAATTAAATCTTAGTTGCAGCATGTTTTATCCCCCTAAGCAATGCATCATGTGGCCATCATTCGGCTCAAAACTTCACTTGACAGACAACACTATGAATTCACACTTTGATTCACAATACAGATCGTAAAATATATTTTATATTCTGGTCAAAATGCAGCACTCTTGTGAAAGAAAAGTTAAGAAATATTGTCTAATGGTTGAATCCCACAGATCCTGCCTTTTCTAAAGGCGATGGCTTTATGTGGATAAGACCTATGTTCAACTCCAGGACTGCTACTTACTGTAAGACGTTGAGCCTGTTTTCTTATCCGTGCACTAATAACTCTACCTTACAAGGTTATTTTGAGGATAAAAAAGCATATATAAGCATTTTATAAACTGTGCTATACAAATTATTATTATTCTGCCTGTAGATTTATTCGAAATTAAAAACGTTCTTTCAAGGAGCTGGTGATCCAAGATTAAGAATGTCATTTTGTTCACATGCTTACCAAAAAGTTTCTAGGTCAACAGCAAGTCACTGAAAAGTATCATCTCCTTCCACCCTTTCTCAAAAATTCTATAGTTTATCATGAAATTTAACACTTATAGTCATATCCACCTTGCAGAGCATTATTAATCGCCCGGTTTAAATACTCATTAACTGTGTTTTGTTTCATGTTTAGCTGGACTAAAACTTCTTGAGGACATGGACTACGGTTTTCTCTCTCCAAAAGGGCCCTTCAGAAAACAGCACCTACTGTATTTTTACCACTTACTTTGTGCCATATATTAAGTGCTTTACATATTTCATCTCGTTTAATCGTTACAATGTTGTTACTGATATTATTCTTCCTATTTTACAGAAGAAGAAACAAGGGTATGAAGAGGTTAGGCTGAAGCTGCAATCTTAGACAGAGCTGGGATTTGAGCTAAACTTTTGTCTCTCGAAGGTGGCACAAAGTAGAGGTTGTGAACAAATATTTGTTGAATTATCCTAATTGCTTTATGTGTGTTGATGGTCCTGCTACCTCAAATTGACTAATAAGGGTAGAAATCTAGCACAGAGGTTTATGGGGTAGAATGGGGAGGACTGCCCTTCTATGCCCAATACCCATGAGGTGCTAGGTTCAGTGCCAGGCATTTCACATCAAGCATCTCTTTTACTGTGAAAACTCCTAACTAAATTCTCTTCAACAAATAGTATTTGCAATTTCTCCATCAGAAATTTACCCAAAATGTCACCCCTTCTCAATCCGGGCACAAATGCTCCCAGGTGCCATGTGCGCTACACTCCTTCTGGGCCTTCCTCCTACTCAAGGACGAGGACAAAGCCTCCAGATTCCCAACAGCCAGTAGGTTAAAATTCTCAGCGTCAACAAGTATTTTCTAAGTGCCTGGTCTTCTTCAGAACAGGCCACCCTGCTCTTCATTCTAACACTCATAATCTCACTTATTAACCACCACAGCCCTGTGAGTTAGGTAGCATTTTCTCTACTTTATAGATAAGGAACGTCCAAAAACAAAACAAAAAACAGTTACAGTCACGTGTCCAATAGCAGATTCGGGACTAGAATCCAGGTCTCCTGACTATCCACCCTGTTCCAGTCCCTCAGAAGAAACTAACTGATGGTAACCAACTTATCTTGGTGTCGCTGTACACTCTAAATAGCAAAAGCTCTAGAATAATTTTCATTCAGAAGATATTTACTGAAGGCCTATGTCAACCTTGTTCCTTCATTTATTCGCTATGTGACATGGAAAAAGTCTGTTTCACCTCCCTTGGTGAATTCCGTCATCCATAAATGGAGATAAAAATAGTACCTACCAAAAAATGTCGTGAGAAGTAAATGAGATGATTAAAGTGAACCGCCTAGCACTATGTCTGGCATTTGGTGGGCGCTTAGTAATTATGAGTTCCCTTCACCTACCCGCTCCGCCCCACAAGCACCAGGGTTCACCCACTATCACCATGCGACAGAGAATCCACTCTAGCCAGAGGCTCTCACAGGGCCTCCGGGTTTCACAGGCCGGGAGCCAGCCGCACTGTCATACCTGCATGGAGTCGGCACTGACGATCTCGCCACCGAGCCGCTGGCCTAGCTGCAACGCCAGGGTGGATTTGCCGGTGCCCGTGGCCCCGAGAATCACGACAAGAGGTAGTGTCCGTTGCACTCTCCGGAGCCCAGGTCCCAAAGAAACTGCTCGAGCAGCCGCCACTGCCGCCATCTTGAAAATGTCTGCGCTTGCGCGAGAGCAGCTGTCCCCATGACAACCGTCAGTGCGCCTGCGCAAACTTTGGACTCAGGAGGGAGGGCACAAAGAGAGGGGGAAGCTGCGGAACCAAGGTCCCTAAGCTTGAGAGGCTCCCAACGTAACTACCATCAGCTAGCTGGTGTCAGAGCCTTAACTACCAACTTTTACATGGGAGATGTCAGTCCTATCAAAAATAGATCTATCCCTATTATTCTTTCATTACATCCAGTTCTTTTTCTTCATAGCGCTAATTACAATATAAAATTCTAAATGGACCTCTTGTCTGTTAACTGACTTACGCTCCAGGCTATTAGTTCCATAAAAGCAAGGAACAAATTCTGCCTAGGTCATTGTTGTATCTCCAGTACCTAGCCCAGTACTTGATACCGAATAGGCTCCCAATAATTGTTAAGTGGAGAGGAGAATGGCTTACCTATCTAGTGCTGGAGCCAGTGAGTTCAAGGTGTGGCATTCTCCAGGATCAGATCTGCCCAGTTATCATGCAAGGGCGGCTGCTCTAAGGTTTTCATCCTACAACAGACATAATCAGAAGGCAGGACAAAACTTTCCATCTCTTTGGCTAAAGGATGCAAGAGATGGAGTGAGAACAGAGAAAAACAAGTAAACAACCCATGAAATATGAAGAGGAAAAATAAGAAAGGCAGAAGGATAAAGTAGTAGCAACCCTCAGATTAAAAGTGGGGGTGAGGAAAATTAGCACCAGAGAGGACCAAAAGCCAGGAGCCTCCACAACCTTTAAGAAAGGGCTTTGGAATCAGATGGACTTGGGTTCAAATCTCAACTGTCATTTATTAGCTGCGAGACCTCACACAATTAACTTTACCTCTTACCCTCAATTTTCTTATCATTAAAAACTTCTCAAGATTGCCATAAGGAGAAAATGAAGTAATGTCTGAAAAGTGCCTGCCGCAATGCCCTGGCACATAACAACTACCTTTTTTTCCAATATTTTGTATTATTATAATAGTAACACCCCATCTGCCTCACTAAAGAGTTAAAAGCAGAAGCCTGAGGGCAGAAAAATTTTCAATAATGTGTAATGGTACCTAAATACCTATTGTAATAACCCTTATTAGCCAATTTAAGAGTTAATTGCTTTCTCCCAGAGATTACTTGGCTCTGCCTAGCTCTCAGGTCGCATCACTCGGATCCCTTTGGCCAGAGGAGTCACTGCAGGAAGTTTAAAGCATATGATAGGCCTTCCTGGAATAACTGCCAATACAGTTCTCAATCACTTAGATCACCCTCAGCTTAATGGTCACTCTTGCAGCCCATGTATTGTTTGGAGAACACCAGATCCCAGGGGTCCGTGTACCTCCTTTTCTCAATCTAGTCTGCTTTGATCAAAAGCCTTGTTCTCTCCAATTTGTGGTACCTGCCCAGGGCTGGCTTTAAAATCGAGATGTGTGGCCACATATTGGCAGACACTCTCACATGACGGTTGTTAACTGTAGAGCCTTTGCCTAGAGACTTTCAGAGGGTACAGTTACCATGACAACCAACAGAAAGATGGCAGGCTGGAGAAATGATGCAAAGAAGGCAAAAGGGAAGCTAATTTCATGATGACAATCTGACCATTACAGTGTATGCTCACTAAAAGATGGGAAAGCACTGTCCAAGTCATGACCAGGTGACTGTTACTAGAGAGAGAAAAAAAGAGGGGGGTGGAATTTACCACTGGGAGACCAGAATAGGGAGAGGCTGGTTACCAAGGCAACTGAGGAGAAAGGAATGAAAAAATGGAGCTTCACCACAGCAGCAGAAAATTGCTTCTAGCCAAGCAACACGGGACTGTTGCTATAGAAACAAAGAGAACAGGGATCCTGTAGACCATGGGGAGAATTATCACTAAAATGCTGAGCAGGAAAGACTCCTAAATCAGGATGGAGCCTATGGTCCAAAACAAAAGAGAAGTGAGAAAAACATCGAAGCATTTCCATTTATGGTAATTCTACCAATCCTACCAAAAGAGAATGGAAATGTATTTTTAATACCTTTATACTATTTTACATGTATCTCTATTTGTCTCTCTAATGATCCTCTGAACTCTGAATTATACTAATAGTTCCTGCGAGATAATCTGTAACTTGAAATCCTAATTGAAAAGATGAAGTTCAAAGGAAAATTAGGAAATTGAAGTCTATGACCAAGAGTTAATAAGTATTTCTAAAAAAACAACATAAAGCCCTCTAATGGGAAGTTTTGCAGGGTAATAAGGAGACAAAAGGCTACAAAAGGGAATCAGGAACGCTATTTGTAGTCATGCCCAGGTGTTAGCCCTGACCCCTTCTCCACCTTTTATGAGGCCAGATGAGATATAGCCCAATTTATTCTGAAAGATAGCTCAAGAGGAAAGGGAATCTCTCACCTAAAGTATATGTGTATATCTAGAGGTGGAGAATGCAGAAGCCCATCTCCAACATACTCCATTGCTTACAGATTATTTTAGGTAAAGAATTCTAGCGTAAAAGGCAAAAATCTGGGGATAGGTTCAGTCTGGAATTGCATATCTAAAACGTAGGAATGAGGTACTAGGGATACTCAAATTACTTGAAGGGTAATAATTCCTTGCCTGCCCTTCTGAAAGTCCACAGCCAGTCACCTAATTTTTACTCATAATATGTGTGTGTTATTATGAGATGTATGTGTTATTATGAGATGTATAGTCAGGCTGGGCCCCTTTGCACTACCTCACTTTCTTTAGGAAATTGAGAGCAGTACATGGAGTGGGATGTGCATGGGAACCTGGCAGAAAAGGAGGAAAAAAGAAGGGCAGGAAGGAAGAAAGGAAATCTAGGTGATCACCCATTAGTGTTTATTACATTATTTTCTATCCTCTGTATATTTTAAATTTACTTTAAAATTTTTTAGAAAAAGAAAGAAGCATAAAAAGAAGGCTAAAGGTGAAACCATTAAAGTAGGGCCATAGTAACTCCCCATTTGCCTCACTAAAGAGGTAAAAGCAGAAGCCTAAGGTCCATTCAAAGCGAAGCATCCAGAAAGCTCAAACACTCAAGACAGAATTCTGGAAGATGATGTGACAGTCTGGATCAAAAGAAGAATGTTCCATGTGAGTCCTGAAGCATTCGTTTCCAAGGTAAGAGAAGAAAGTTGGGTCAAAGACAAACCCTGGCTTTTTGGTACAACCCAAGGTGACTTTGCAGTCTAACCCCATATAATTGGGTATCCCAAATGAAAAACATTTCCTGAGGGGGTATTTCATGATGAACTTGGTTCCTGTATTAGTTTCCTATGGCTGTCATAACAAATTACTACAGAGTGGGTGGCTTAAAACAACATAACCACATTTTCTCAAAGTTCTGGAGGCCAGAAGTCCAAAATTAAGATGTCAGCAGGGCCATGCTTCCATGCTCTAGGGAAGAACCCTTTCTTGCCTCTTCTAGCTTCTGGTGGTTGTTGGCAATCCTTGGAATTACTTGTTTTGTGGCAGCATGAGTCCAGTCCTGACTCTTATCTTTGCATGGTCATCTTCTCTGTGTGTATGTCTTTGTATGAATTTTCCTCTCTTTAAGACACCAGTCATTAGATTAGGATCCAGCCTGCTCCAGTATGACCTCATTTTAACATCTGCAAAGACTGTATTTCCAAATAAGGTCACATTCACAAGTTCTGGATAAACCTGAATTTGGTATAGTACCTGTGAGTAATCACGACACCTTGCATTGGTTTGGCGAATTGCTGTTTCCATTGGTGATTGGACAATTTGAATTCAGGAGCATTAGAATTGTTTGAAACAAGTGAAGGAAAGAAGAGAATAGAGCTCACCATGTTGTAGGGCTTATGTTACACCTAAAGTTGAGTATAGAGTTTACTTCAGAGCACACCAGAATGTTCTCAAAGGGAGCTCACTTTGGGCCTTCTCAGCTAAGAGTGCCAACACACCCACAGGGGATCGCTGAAGGCTACAAAATCAGAGTAGGGTAGGTACAAAAAGATGCAGAGCCATCAGATATCCTTGCCTATTCTAAGCTTTTTCCTGTACTCCTACGGCCCCTCTCTTTCTCATGGCTTGGCATTTTGGACCTTCATCATCTTATATCCTGATGAGATTCAAACTTGTATCTTCATTTCAAATCTCTTTCTAAAGCTTCAGTGTCACATCTCCAACTTCTGTTTTGGATGACCCCATCACTTCAATCTCTGTGTCTCAAACCACTATCGGTTTCTTTCCCTGACTTCTCTATTTCAAGGAATCACAGAGGACGTTTGCCATTGAAAACATCCTCTTAGAAATCCAGTGCAACCCCTCTTGTTTTATAAAAATGAGACCACTCAGAGCAAATCAGACCAGATTTCCCTCTTTCCCCAGGTTCCACACAACCTTCTTAATCCCCTTTTCCTCAAAGCTATTCCCTTAGCCTAGAATACCTTATTCTTTTCACTTAGCAAGATACTACTGTACGTCCTGTCCCAGTTAAAGTCACAATATCTCCCGACAAAAACTTTCTTAATGACTCCAAAGAAAGTACTCTCTTCCCCTTTGGAGGCTTGTAGCCCTTGTCTGAGACACATATTGCTTTATTTCATAATTATGTTTGCATGCTCATAAACTTCTGTAAGGAATAAAAGCTTCATATATCATTGCTCTTAACTATATGGGAGGTACTATTCTAAGTGTTTTGCATATAATTATTACTTACTCTTCACAATAGTTCTATGTGGTAGGTATTAATATTATATCCATTTTAAAGAAGGAAATTCAGGCAAGGAGGTGAGTGATTTGCCCAATATCATGTAGATAGTAACCCTAAGACCGTGTTCTTAACCCTTATACTATACCATCTATACCACCTTCTGTGAACATTTTTATATCTCTGCGGGACTTGGCTCCAAACTCTTATTCCAGTGTTTTTCTAAGTGTAATCTCAGGATTCTACCTCCCTGCTTGCTTGTCAGCAATGTAGATTCCTGGCGCTGACCTTAAAACATGCTCAGGTTTGAGACTTACAGCCTGAACAAAACAGACATTAGGTTTAATTACTGGAGTCAATTGACTCCAGCTCAGTTTGAAGCACTGCAGTGCCAAGTAAGGACAAATAGAGAGCACATATGTGCAGTAGCATCACAGACTTGCAGCTCCTGCCTGCCATGGGCCGTGTGATGTTGTGGACCCACCAGAGGCTCAGGTCTTTGCCCTCCTTTCATCCTCTGCCTATCTCAGTCTCCCCAAATCATAGGCACTCATTCCCTGATAGTTTACTGCCTCCTGAGGCATCAATATGTGTATTCCAGATTAGTTCAGGTATTCCTTCTGGGAAGCTTTCTTATTTTACCAATCCTTTCTATCTTCCAATATGATGAATCTATATTCTAGGTGTGACTTGTTAAATGGTTTAAATAACACTAATGATTTGGGGAAGAAAATACTTGCAAATCATATGTCTGATAGAGATTAATATCCAGAATATATATAGAACTTCTAAAACTAAAAAAATCTAATTCAAAAATGGGCAAAGGACTTGAATAGACATTTCTCCAAAGAATAAATGCAAATGGCCAATAAGCATATGAAAAGATGCTCAATATCACTGATCATTAGGTAAATACAAATTAAAACCACAATGAGATATCACCTCACATCCATTAGGATGGTTACCATAAAAAAAAAAAAAATAAATAACGTGTTGGAGAGGATGTGGAGAAATTGGAAGTCTTGTGCACTGTTGGTGGGAATGTAAAAGGGAAGAGCCAATGTGGAAAACCATATGGAGTTTCCTCAAAAAATTAAAAATAGAATTACCATATGATTCAGCAATTCCATTGCTAGGTATACACTCAAAATAACAGAAAGCAGAGTTTCAAAGAGATATTTGTACACACATTTTCACAGCACCATTATTCACAATAGCTAAAACATAGAAGCCACTCAAATGTTCATTGACATCTGTATGGTATATACATACGATGGAATATTATTCAGCCTTAAAAAAGGAAGGAAATTCTGACACATGCTGAAACATGGATGAACTTGAGGATATTGTGCCAAGCGAAATAATCCAGTCACAAAGACAAATAGTGTAGAATTCCACTTATATGAAATACTTTAGTCAAAATTATAGAGAAAATAGAATGGTGGTTGCCAGGGACTGGAGGGTGGGGGAAATGGGAAGTTATTTAATGGAGACAGAGTTTTAGTTTTACAAGATGAAAAGAGTTATGCTGATGGCCGGCAATGATGGTTGCATAACATTATGAATGTATTTAATACCACTGAACTGAATACTTAAAAATGGCTAAGATGGTAAATTTAAGTTATGTGTATTTTACTTCAATAAAAATAACTAGAAAAAAAAAAAAGATAATAGTTAACATGCTCATAGTAACGTAGGGAGGAGGCAAGGGAACGAAAATGTTAAATCAAGCTACATTCAGAGACTGCAATATGCTGATCAGCCCTACATGTAGCCAGACCATGAGGAAACCTGCAGAACAAAGGAAGATTTCTGCTGGGATTGCTAACAACCCTTTTCCCAACACTGTGAAGGGAAAACAAGAAAAACAGAGTCTTTAAGTGGTGCCCTACACAAAATTAAATCATTCCTTCCCTATGGCTAAAACCATAGGGAACCTATGGATTAAGGGCTGGGAACTGCCAGCAGGCCTTTCACACTACATATTCTTAACTTTTCACTCTACATACCTACTTTTATCCTTCCTCACTGTTTGTCCATATCAAAGGAAAATGGGTAAACAAAGTCTTTAAACTGTAATTCACAGGAACTAAAGAATGATATATAAACTGAATTCCCTGGACACTCAGGTCTCTCAATGCCTTTACTCTCTCACTGTCCTCCTCTCTATTGTCTCTGTCCCTCTGAGTCTCTCAGGCTCTCACTCTGCCTCTGAGAGGAGACCACACTGTTTATGGTGTTAAACTCTCCTTTTGACTCTAACTTTGGCGTATGTTTCAATGCTTTCTCACACTCTGCCAAGAACCCCCTTCTCTCTCACTGTAGAGCTTGAGTCTAGTCCCACTCGAGGGAATTGCTCTGTCCTGCATCAACAGAATGCTTACCATGCGGCAGGGACTAGTCTAAACATTCTACATGCAATAACTCATTACACACACACACACACACACCCCACTAATTATTTACTGAGCACTTACTATTGCTTAGAACAACCCAATGAAGCAGGTGCTATTATTTATACTTATTTTACAGATACTGGGGCTAGGAGGGGTTAATAATTTGCCCAAGGTCAGGCAGCTGGAAAATGAAGAGCCGGATTTAGAACTGAGATCTAAGCCGGTGTGAGAGACCTCTTAACCATACTGCTTCCCACAAGTTTAAAAGTGATCCATCACTTCCTGGGCACCTACTGGACCCCTGGCACTGTCTCATTGTTTAGTGACTTACCTGATTAGAGACTTTAAGAATATATTTATATTTCCTCAGCAAAAGAATGGGAACATTAATAGTTGATCCCTTTGGCAGCAGTTCTAAATAAAGGCATTAACAAGAGCTGCCCACTGGGCTTAAAGTAGAAAAGCCCACACTCCATGGAACTTCCACTGACACATTTAGATCCCTCCTCTTCACCCCTCCCAGTCACCCAGTCATCAATCATCTCCCAACTGGTTATCTTATCCTTGAAAGAAAACTCTCTCTCTCACTCCCTATCACCTTGCAGTTCAACAAAGACATCCCCACCCCCTCTTTTCCTTCTGAAGTGAATATTCTGCAATATCTTACCCACAGGGGCACTTTAGACAAACTCAGCACATCTAAGATAGCTCAACTTGCCTCAGTTCCCCCCAAAATAGCTGCCAAGAGGCAGGAGTTAAGCACACACTTTAGCCTTTTATTGTCTAACGGAGAGGATGACCTTTTCTTTCTACACCAAGTGTGGCTTCTCTGATGCCCCTTATTGTCTACCTCCACATCCCCAAGTTGGGGATGTAGTCCCTTAGGTGTACTATTCAGAGGCAAACCTAATTTGTAGAAACTGTTCTCTGAAATCCAGGAATAAACTCCTGGCTATTTTCAGACAGAGATAGAGGTAGGAGTCTGTAGAAAGGAGTTAGGAAGGAGCTTAAAATACTTCACATTCCAGAAACACCCTCCCTTCCCCCCAGGAGATGGCTTTATTCCCACTCCTTTCTTAGCAGAGTTGGACTCAAAGGAGCTGAAGCTTGGAGTCAGGCAGCTGGTACTAGCTGTGTGGGCTTAGATAAATGACTTAAATGTCTGAGCTTTAGTTTGCATATCCGTGAAATGGAGTGACACCATCCCGTTCTCCAGAGTATTGTGAGAATTAAGATATGTAAAACAACTAGCATTAGTGCCTGTACCTAGGAGTCCCTAATACCTTATTCAGGAATTCTTTCAAGGTCTAGTAAAGGGAGAGGAGTCCTACAAATTTAGTTTCTTGACAAATGCCCTTAAAAAAGGATGGGACAGAGTGATAATCGCTAAAAAGAAATGGAGTTTTAAGAAAAGAGCCCCCCCATCCCCCCCCCAATTTCTTGACAAATGCCCTTAAAAAAAGATGGGACAGAGTGATAATCGCTAAAGAGAAATGGAGTTTTAAGAAAAGAGCCCTCCCATCCCCCCCAAAAAAGAAAAGTGACCCAGTAATCCAAGTCTGTTTTTATCAAACAGCTACTTATGGATGGGGGTTGGTGATCTAGGGGCAGTGAGGGTGGAATGGAAAGTTTACCTGACAGGAGACTGGGTTTGGGATTCTGACTGTGTTATGTGACCTTGACAAAGAAACCTTTCTGGGCTCTAGTACCATATGGCAGACATTGCTTACTTACCAGGTTGTGATGAAGGGCACTTGGTAAATGTAATTTACAGTAGCTGTTTGACTATACTCAGGCTCCACAGACGTGCAGCCAGGCAATACCAACCCAGGTCTCAGCTGTAAAGCAGGAGTAGCTAAGGCCAAGTGGCCTTCTCCCACCATGATGCTCATGGCCTTTCTGAACAGCAACCATTTTCCTTTCAGTCCCAGAAGGGGCCTCTTTGGGATAAGACTAACCCTCCCAACCCACAAATGCAACAAAAGGGCTGGTCATGGAATATTTGCTCCACTTCATCCCAGAAAGTGGCCAGCACAATGGCCACAAAGAGAGAGAGTTCCAAGAAGCAGTTAAGTGATGGAATTCTGTTTACCTCTTGCACACACACCATGCTAACAGAACAAGCTGATCATTACTATGCAGTGGCTAAGACTTTTGCCTGCAGAGATAGGCAGAACTGGTTTCAAATCCCAACTCATTCACTAGCTATGTAACTGTGGGTAATGTTTCATTCTTAGAACCTCATTTCCTCTTCGGTAGCCCCGGCAGATGGATGGCAAAGCATAATATGGAGAAGCAAGCTTAGACATAGGTGGTGCTTTATCAGGAAGAGCTATTATTAAATTCTCCCCTCTTGCATTTGCAGCAAGTTTATGAGAATGATGTGAGGAAAAGGGAGGCTTCATTTTCTTTCATTAACCCAGGGAGAAAGAAAAAAAATCACATATCACGCATTCGCAGAGAATTTTTAAAAACAGGTCCTGCAAAGGGTCATCACACCACTAAAGTAAGAAAAGTACACTAAGGTAAGAAAAGTACCACCCAAAAGAACATAAGGCTTTATAGTTTAGAAAGTGGTTCATCGTCTACTACTTCATTTAATACCCCTGTGAAGTAGCATTTATCCCCATTTTATAGACAAAGAATCTAGGACTTGGAAAGGTAAAGCTAAAAGGCACAGAACAAGTAAGTGGTGGAACCACAATTTCAACCTTCTAAAGTCAAATTCAGCACTCTGCAATTCACAAGAGAATTTCCTGTTCACCAAGAGCAGAGCCTACATTGTTTAGACACGTCTGAAATGGCATTTCAGGAACCCAAAGTGGAATGAACAGGTTAGCAACGTGGTTAGAGAAATGCAACACTCTGGCTCCCTTGTGGCTACCCTGAAATAGTCTTCCTTGGTTCAGGGGGACTTGCTTAGCATAAGCTGCCCCCACTCTGACATGTTTGAGAAATCTTTTATTAGAAGATGTCCCAGAAGGCAACATTTTAAAATCAGTCGATTAATAATCACAACTAAATACAAAATTTCAGGTAAACCTGCCTTTCAGAATAATCAGACTCTTGCAACAGGAGAATTGCCCAAGAGTTTTTTTCTTGTACAAAAACAACACCACTTTGCAAAAGGCATACAAAAATACAGTATTAAAAAAAAACAAAACAAAACAAAAAACTGCTCCCAGCGTAATACCCAACAGCAGCTTATAAAACACAAGCTATTCAGGTGAGACATCAGTAACCTACATCCCACCTCTTCTCCAAAGACAGTTCCAGAAGTTAGTTGGCTCCCGAAAACCATGTTCCAAAATGTAGAGGCTTTCTCCAAACTTCTACTGAGGTTCTCAGGCCAGGAAGCAACTCCAGAAACAGATCATTGTGCATAATAGGTTTGGAAGTAGCAGCTCACTTTCCAGAGCCACATATAGCACTCTACTATCCTCCCCTCCCCTACTTTCAAATGGATAGCCAACAGGCACCTGCTCTCTTGGGCAGAGTTCTGGAGGGACTGGTCCTCCTTCCAAACTAGGCTTAGGGGCTCCTGAGGTTGCCCACAAGACACCTGTAGGGTTGGGTGCCTTTGCAAGAGTGGAAGCTGCACCTGGAATCCACTTGGAGATGCCAAGTCCATCTGGGCCAAAATCCGTCATGGTCCAACTAAGCAGAGCTCCTGGAAGTTCCTTTAAAAACCCACCAGAAAGCTAGGCCACAATCTAGAGCACTGGATGAGTCCCAGCAGCTCCCCCAGTAAGAACTTCAGTAAGGCCCAGATTCTGGGAAAGGGATCTGACTCATGTCAAGCTGGCAGGGGACCCAAAGGTGGCTACAGAGCCAGCAAGCTCCTCGGAGTTGCACAAGAAGGACAGGTTTGCATGGTTCTGGTAGAACTTCAAACTAATCAGTGAGGAACTGAGATGACAGGGAAGTGGGAAAGAGAAAGTGGTACAGTTCTCACTCCTGACATCTCTGACATCTGCCTTAAGAAAAGATGCCAAGATGGAATACACCTAGGCAGGAAACAAGTTCACGGCCAGGACTCCAAGCCTTCCCTAGTCCTCAAATTAGCACCCATTTCTCTGTGTGTTGGGGAAATCTATCTGGCCTGTGGGAAAGGGGTGCTGTAGAGCCCATTGCATAACAAAGGCAGAAGGAAACAAAAAAGTCCTTTGTGAGGACAGAATGGTCTCCCTCAGAGGAAAGGGCCCAGAAGGCTTTGAGACAGAGAATCTAGAGGCCGAGCTCTTTAAATGTTCTCAAGTTCGCAGCATTGGATGGGAGTGGGTGTCATCTAACATCATAATATATATATTAAAGGTTTTCCAAATCCTCAGCTACTATAAAGTGTCTGACAGTGAGGTAATGGTCCATGTTGATCAAGTCTGCGAGCTTGTCTTCACCCAAGACAGCTCATGTGTCTCTTGGAAAAAGGAGCCTCAGGGAGAATATCCAGGCCCAGCTGTCCTAGCATCACCCCCAGAGACACCAGTGGGAGCATCCTTTCCCAGCCTAAAGCTCATCCGGAGTGTGAGATTTCATGCAGCCTGGAGCCCTCGACAACGTCCACCACCTGTTGCATAGCATCTGTCAGGCTTTTCTTCGGAGCTAGTGAGCTAGGCAGACCCCAAGGCTCCTCAGTCAGATGCCTGCCTGAGAGGCCGAGGGCGCCAAAGAAGATATAGCGCTCCAGTGAGTCAGGGAAGAGGGAGAGCTGGGTTTCCAGGTTTCCAAGAATGCAAGCCCTTATTGTGTGTGCACTGGCTGCAAAGCATTCTGGGATCTACTGTCCAGACTGTCTCACCGTAACCAAAATGTGCAAATTACTAAGGGGGAGAGGGAAGGTTAAAAAATAAACTTGGGTTTTTATAAGACAGCAGTCAGGCTTTTTGGTCAGTTAGTAGCCACTGAGGTACGCAATTCTTTTCTGCAGTTGCTGCTGCCGGCATCGGAGCTGCCTTTTCTCCGTAGCCATCCTCTTCTCGGCCCCCACCAAGGCTTGCAAGTATTCCAAGGCCTTGCTCAGGATCACCACTTTGGGGGCCTTGGAGCAGCTGGCCAGGGTGGGCACCTGGTCCCTCAGGGCCAAGAACCTTGAGCGGAGGTCATTCCGCCTTTTGCGCTCCAGGAAGTTGTGGTTCTTCCTCTTGGTCACGTCCTCAGTGTCAGAACTGACAGGTTTGGGGTAGCCGGACTGGGGAGTCTCGCTTTCTATAGGCAAGGGGCTCACAACCTCTTCATCGGCCTCATCTTCCTTCTCTGCTGGAGCATCTCTCCCTGCAGCCTCTTGGGGACCTCTCTCTGGAGCCCCTCCTTGGGAACAGCTTTCTGGAGGAAAACGGGCAGCATAGTTGTGTTGCTGCTGATGGATGGAGATGTGGAAGTGTTTCATGCAGGGGTCCAAAGGGTCTGCTCGCACCGTGATGGTGACTGGCTTTCGTACACCCAAGGACTGTCTCTTCTCCACTGTCACAACATCAATTTCTTCACCCTCTGTCCAAGAGGAGAGGAAGAGAAGAAACACACCCCATGAGAAGCACATACAAAGACCTTATGCTGGAGTTTGGGAAAGGAGGTGATGTTTTCCCAACTTAGATATAAACAAACTGAAGTGAGGAGAAAGGCAGCTGATTCGTTTGTAATGGGGTAAGGACAGTGTGAAGGAAAGGAGGGGAAATAAACAAGAAGGAAAATATTCTCCAATTTCCTTTTGCACAGCAAAGCTTAGATAAGAACAAAAGGCAGACCCAAGCCAACAGCCCCCAGTCTGCACAGGCTCTCCCCTCCCCCACTGAAAGGATGGAGAGAAAGAACTATTGGCCTGGGACAAAGTTTAGCTATAAAGATCTTCCCCAGTCGGGCTCTTTCATGCCCCATCAGAATTGTAAATGAGGGGTCTGTGGGCAGAGCTGCCCTTTGTTCCTGCCCAGCACAGCCTGCACTTGGGGAATTGTTACTTTTCACAAGTTATAAATCCTATTATTCCCCACCTCTCTATTCTGCCATCCCTTTCAGCTCAAGATTCAGAGAAGGGAGGGCTACAACCCATCCCTCCTCGCCCACAGAGGGGAGGGAAAGGTTTCCCTTAAGGGCATTTTGCTCCTGGGTTCGATGGGTTTCTTAAATCATCCATCATTTATAGGTTGCCCACCCCACCCCCTTCCCTGGACCAGTAGAGGGTTGGATTTATAATCCCAGGTCAGCAAAAGCTGCAGTAACTTCACAAAGGGTACATGTAATCATTTCCAAGCTACCTGTGCCAGAGGTAGGAACTGAACAGCAAGAGAATGTCGCCATACAAGGGCCGAAACACCTGGGACCTGGAGACACCTGGACATACCCCCATCATTCCTTGGTTTGGAGGTCTCTTAGGTTACCCCAGCCAGGAGAGAGGCAATTAAGGGAAAACCTTTCTGCTCTACATGTTCTGCAGCCTCACATAGAAGGCCACCTTAATGCATTTTATCCTGACTACAGAAGAGCTCAGTTCTCTGCCTCTTTTGCATATCAGGATGCTTGAGCCCCTTTGTCAGGAAGGCTTCCATTGTGTGGACAATCGCATTATTTCTCCATTAATAAAACCTGACCATTCAGCCCTCCTGGCCCCAAGGCTTGGGATTGGCTGGCTAAGCTGTGTTTGGAATGCTGTTTTACCCAGCCCCTAGCCTCTATTGGCTGAGCTTTGCAGTCAGTCACTCTCCCCAACCCCCTCATTGTTTGCAATCTGTTGCATTTTGTTCTGGGCCATGTGGCCTGTGAGTGAACCAGGAGCTTGCAAACAGGTTCAGGTTAAAGGGCAGGTCAGAAAATGATTCAGGAGGCTTCCCCACATCCCAAACCTTTAATATTTCAGTGTTAAACCTCATAGTTGTGGCCTAAGGAAGAGATCATGTAAAACATCATTCTCCTTTCAGAGAGTAGTGTCTAACTCTACTCAGGAAAGGAAATGTCCTCAGCTGGACAGTCAAGGACAACCCCCTCACGTGCCAAGGGAGAAAAAGACCCAGATCGGCCAGTCTACACATCACCTTCGGAACTGGATCTCAAACTAAGATCTCCAAGCTCGCAAACGATGCTCCTCCCACTCCACCACTCCATTGGCCTTTGCAGAGACACATCTTTATTGGTTTCTTGATCTCTAAATTCCCATTCCAGCCATTAAACACAAGCTCTTGGGGTAGAAAGCAGATTAAAAATGACCTTAACACAGTGGACTGAAAAAAAATGACTTTTAATTTTTCTCGTCATTCTTATTTTTTCCCTCAAATGTATGAAGGCTTCCATATCCCATTCTTCATTTTCCTCTAAGAGTCATGTAAAAGTTATTCTTAAAAGCAGCAGTAAGTGTTGTCTCAATTTACCGTATGCTAGCCTCAGTCTACCCTATGAAAGCACCCTCTCCAGTATTTCTCATGGGTACAGAGGTCTAAGAAGAGGTTAGACTAAGAACAACGTAATCTGATAGCATAGAATGCCGAAGGCTGCCCTCAGTGAGGTTTACACTCGCATTTAAGGATGGGACAGGGAGGATGGGGCAGGGGGCCTGGAGCTCTATATCCCTGACCTAGTGCACCTAGTCCACTGGTACAAACCAGGGGCCAGTTAACATTTGTTGAATGCAAGGAGGGAGCTGAAGCTCTCAGATAGATTGGGGCGGGTAGGAGTTAAAGGGACACTTTTCCACTTTAGGCCAAAGCAACAAGGCAAGGTGTAGTCCTTCTCAGGTCAACTACCATGAAGACCCTCTAAACATCAAGGTATTAGTGCTTGGTTGCTATGGAGGGTTGGGCAAAAGAAGCTGGCTAGAGGGCAGGAAGCTGGGTTCACTTCTAGTGATTTCCTGTTTCTAAGCCTCGGTTCTTCCATCTGTTAATGGGGAGCGTTCATTCCCTACTTGTCTTATGGGTAATGGTGCATATGCACAAATGGTAAGGGGTGGAAGCATTTTAAAGTAAAGCAGACAGGAGACCAGATTTTTAAAAAGATGAAGGCTTTGGCTTTGTACGAAGGGCTGCTCAGCTTCTTCTCTCCCTAGGGGAGTGTGAG